TTTTTTCTTTGTAACAGAATTTGCTGAATTTGAAAAAACAAATTAGTTAGTTCATCCTTAACCACAGGAGATAATGATGCTAAAGGCAAAGCTTTAATAGAATATACTGCATATGAAGAATCACTAGTAATATTAATATTTTCATTAGACCATTCTTTTAAAGCTAGAATAATAGCATAAAGTTCACTTTTTTGTACTGATTTATAAGGAGATAGTCCAACATAAGATTTGTTAACACTCTAATAACCTAATTTTCCATTACTGGAAGCATCTGTAAAAACATTAGGACCTTCAAGGGGAACAGAAGATATGATAGATGTAGGTAAAAAAGTATACTCCTGAAGAAACGAAAAAAGCTTATTAGAAGGAAAGTGATTATCAAATTGTCCTGTATATCCAGCACAAGCAATTTGTCATTCCTCATTATTTTCCAATAAAGTATTAATTTGAGTATTAGATAGTCTTAAGTAAATAACAACTGGATCTGAACCATATAATTGATGAATACAATGACAGCCTTTTATTATTAAATTTGCAATTTTGTGGAGATAATTTAATAAACATTTATTAACCTTATTAGGTAAAAACAGCCATTCTAATAATGTTGTTTGTTGACCATTGCAAGCAGATCGTGTATGAGAAATATGGAAGATATAAAGATAGATAGGTAATGTTGGATCTAATTGATTTAAGAATGCTTGATTTATATGTTGTTCTACAAATTCTAATTCTGCTTGAGCTTCAATTGTTAAAGGTCTAGGGCTATCTAACTGTGAGTCTCCTTCTAAAGTAGCAAATAAATGTTTGAGATTATGAGTACGAATTCCTAACATTGGCCACAGTCAATTAATATCCCCTAATAACTTTTGAAAATACTTTAATGTATTTAATTTGTCTTTTCTAAGCCTAACCTTTTGAAGACGAAGCTTCTGTTCTGATAATTTAAAACCCAAATAAGAAACAAGATGTTGAGTTTGTACTTTTTCAGATGCAATGCAAAGATTAAATTTCTTTAATTGTTTTAATAAAAATTCACAAGCAACATTAAGGGTATCTTGATCAGGAGCAGTTAATAATATATCATCCATATAATGAATTAATTTTATAGCAGGAAAATA